AACTTTTCCAATTTGATGGTCAACTTTACGAACAGTGTGAAGGAGTTGCTATGGGGTCCCCCCTTGGTCCTTTGTTGGCGAACGTGTTTATGTGCCATCTGGAAGAAAGACTATCTAACGATGATTTAATTCCTTCTTATTACAAGCGTTATGTCGACGATACGCTTGCAATAATGCCTGGACTCGATGTAGCTGTAAGTTTCCTCAATGTACTCAATGGACTCCACCCTAGTATTCATTTCACTATGGAACTTTCCAACAACGATTCAATTCCTTTTATTGGAACGTTGATAACAAAGAACGGCAACAAGCTGGAGACTCAGGTCTATCGTAAACCTACGAACACGGGCCTTTTACTTCACTTTCAAAGTCACACCGATTTGCGCTACAAGAAGTGTCTTATCAAAACAATGGTTCATCGTGCAAAGGAATTGTCCTCTACGCATCAAGCATTCGTCGATGAGTGTAGGCATCTAAAATCTATGTTTCATCGCCTTGGTTACCCTAGTTCTTTGGTGAACTTTATTATCGACAAATGTGATTATTCCTCTACACCAGATACTAAGACAAAATCTGTTGAAACTTTAAGAGTCAGTATTCCTTTCAAAGATCAAATCTCAGTGAACATTGTCAAAAGACAAATGCGCGATCTCAGTTCAAAAATTGGCATTGATGTACAACCAGTCTACACCAGTAAGAAACTTGAGCAGGACCTAAAGCTTTACTTATTCGAATTCTTAAAAGTCAGTAAAGTTACACAATTCAAGATGGAGAAGATCCACAGTTTCTCGTGATAACAGTGGACCACAGATATGTTGCTTATTTAAAGGTTTAAAAGCATCTAACAGAATTCCCAAATAATATTGTGGCCAGAAATACACATCTTCACAAAGTGCATAAAACTAAATTGGGATTCGCGGTATTAAACAATGATGTAAAATATGTAAGGAATAGGGGCAGGGAGGTCTGAAAAATTGGAAAAATGCCTCAGGTAATGATACAAGAGTGTTGTATCAACTACATGTTGGAAGCATATTGCTTCAAAGTCCTGTCATTTTCAGTTGACTTTCATTTTTGCTTTCCAAACGTAGTTGTTCATTTGTATTTATAACTGAATCCACATTAAAATTTTTTTTTCTGGAAGTTCTCGCATCTCAAGTGGACTATAATAAAGACGGGTGATTAAGAAATTTCTTCCTAGAGGCCAAGATTAAATGGGAAAAAATGTCTAAGGAATTTTTCAAGGAATTCAGTTTTCTGCAGGTTTCCAACCATGTAGTAACTGGTCATTACTATGCATAACTTCAAATGCTTTCATGATTCCCAACAATGGAAAGGAGGTTCTGAACCTATCATGGTTGCGTGCCTGATGTAACGATGTTTCCAGCTTGGCTGTTTTAAGTAGATTAGACACAAACTGTCCCTCAAAAGAAAGAAAATTAACTCATAATTATTCCAATTCATGTCTAAGTCAGTACAAATGTCTACCACCAAACCAACATCAAGCTTTTGTTTATGCCATAAGGGCAAACACACAAATGACTAAAAGGGCAATTAAATTCCTTCCAAATTCTCAAGAGCAATGAACACTGGCAAATTGTAAGAATTCTCACTTTCTCTGTTATAAATGTGAGGATTTTGCACGCATTGCTCTCGAAGGAAATAACAACATATTGGTCAGAACAATTAATTCGTTTTTTAATCAGTATGCATTGTGCTGTAGAAACATTAGCCATCCTTCACTGCGTTATCAGAATGAAAGCAATTTAAACAATTAATTCATATATAGTCCTCACAATCTCTAAAATCAGAAAATTTTCTTCCCAAATTAAAAATTGAGTTTTTTTTTAAGCGTATAGTTTTTTTTATTCGCAGACGCAATATCCAAATAGTGTAGTCATGACTAAGATAAGACATTCAAAGCACCATTTTGGGACGTGACTAAACAACTCAAACAGTTGATTCAATATAATTGATTCATGGGACAAAAATAACCATCATCAGCCACTCGCTACTTATAAACACAACTTCAGTTTTTTTTTAATTCCCAAAGAAACACACACGAACTTATAAACCGCCCAACAATGATATCAGTATTAAATTCTGAAAATCGTCTTAGGCGGTTAGCTGAGTTTTCTAGACATCGTCATCAAAGGTTAGATATTACTCATGTTTCGTTCTCCCTTTCAAAGTCCCGACTTCGATGGAAATTTTTTTTGCTAATTGAAACAATCAATATCTATAAGCTTTGTTGAAATAAAACAATCGTCGCTACTGAGCGCACATGATGGCTTTGCAGTCTGTTTACATTGATGCTTAACTATATTTATCCGCATTGCTCATCTTGTATATTGGAAATAATTTATGTCTTAGGTATGCTAGTACCCTGTCTGCCTCTTTCCTTACCAAATGCGTTATTATAGAAATTTTAAAGCGCACAATTTAACATTGGAAATAATTAACATACGTACAATTGTGCTGCGGCATTATTCGAAGCGAAAGTTGTCTTCAACAAACCGAAAATCTTCCGCTTTTCGAAGATTCTTGCGTAGATGACAAGCTTTTTAATTTTCTACGTGACTAAAATTTCTCTGGTTGTAAGAAGTATAACGCAATTATATTTCATAACGGACTTAGGATGCCACCATGTAATGCTTCTAGCTAACAAAGCTAACATCGTTAAAAGCTCACAGAAGGCTTTTTTACTCAAAACGAAAAACAAAAAATGCGCCCGAATCATACCATGAGAGCGATCGCTCAAAAAAGTCACCTTCTTACATACGACTTTACTAAATCAATCTATATTACAATCCATTGAGGAGAAAAAATAAAACCGCCATCATTTAGATCTTATTGCTTTGTATACTTACACTGCACTGTAATGGTCACCGCACTAGAATTTATCTTTCGGTCCGAACTGTGTTGGACTTGAAGTGCATAATTCCCAGTGTCTACTCTGAACAGCAAAGGGAAAGTAATGCTTGTTTGCGTCGCTGTAATATTCGCCTCCACCCTGCCTCCGTCTTTGTCTGTGCAAATTAGGCCAGAAAAAAATCCAAATTAATTCAAATACCTTTCATGCATTTTGTAAGATTGGCACGATTGCCGGTTCTGTCACGTTACGTTCTTGATGGCGAAGTTGCTTACTTTCCTTAAAATCGTTTTCTTTTCCAAAGTTTTTGTTCCCCAAGCAGGTAAGCTGATTTTTTCCATGGTAAATGTAATAACCACTAGTGTTATTCTTTATTAAGAGTAAACAGTTTTTGTGCATAATTACTGACGCAAACATCAACATGCAATGCATATATATATATTTACAACTGTCGCTCAGTGCTAGGTAAAATGATATGGCACGTGCTTAATGAACACTGCGTGTTTTCTGGAAAGGCAAAAAGAGCCAAATGTAGGACGATAGAAAGGAAATATTCGACAAAAGGAGTTTACTTCCGTGATTGCTGAGCATAAGTGCATAGTTTTGGGAGGTTGGAAAACCGGTTAGCACCAGTCGTACATCATCTACACATTTTAATACGTAATTCTCGTGGCTGACGGCTTCTTGTTTAACTCAATTAGGGAAAATTGTGATGGAATAGTAATGAAGTCAGTCCAATGGAACAGAGTAGATTTGATCAACATCTTCCGAAAACAGATCAACCCGAAAGCCAAAACTTTCGTCGACTGCAATCGACTTGACGGCTTTACCACCATAAAAGTAAACATCTCAGTGGTCTATGTTTGAATTCGGGATCAAGTTAAAAACACATAATAACTCCTCTAAGCCATCTTCCGCCTGTTCTGCTTTAACACATCCTGATTTTCATTATACGTGCAAAAACATAGATTAAGAAACCAATCATTAAATGTGACTCACTCCAGCTTAACGACTTCAAAAGCCACTGAATACAATACATCGCTCGTTGCTTAAGTGAGATCAATTTACCAATTCGATTTTCTTCTGCTTTGTAGAATCCCAGCCTGTTTTTACCAAAGTGCCCTCACTTTCATCCTATGTTGTTGTGGAAGGTAACGGCTTATTTCTGCAGTGGAACTACACTCTTGGTGGAGCGTTTCGACAAGCTGAGTTCGACTTGTTGGGGACAACTGGTATAGACATTGTAGAACGTTTTGTATCAGATTCGAACGCTTTTATTTATCCAGATTACCGAGGCAGGGTGAAAGCGAACATCACAGCAACACAAACGAATGTTAGTTTCCTTTCGCTGACCAGAAAAGACACTGGCATTTATGCATTTCAAGTAATACGCAATTCAGACCGAAAGAAGATTTCTAGTTCAGTGAGAATTACGGTGCAATGTAAGTATATTAAGCGATACGATGACCAGAGTGAGCGATTTTGTCTCATCCTTTAATTTCAGGGTTTTCACTTCAATATGTTGGCCGTCTAATATAATTTTTTTTTAACTCAGTATCATTCAGCTCAATTCCACGCTTTATCTTAATTCCCATACGGCTCCACTTAATTAGTAAATGGAAATTTATGAAAGTCATAAACGAACGTCATGCAAGGTTTAAGAAGATGTATAGGGTGATTTCCATTTTTTTTCGGTCCTCCAGAATTCAACAGTATCAGAGGTCATTAGCAGTTTTAGAGGGTGGTCCCAGTGTTACTTTAGATTGCATCGCAGATGATGAACAATTACCAAACATCACCTTGACCAAAGCATATGCTAATGACAGTGACAGTGGTGTAAAGGCAAATGGGAAGCAACCTCGCTCCCAGGGCCTTTCCCTTAGTTGGGGGTGGGGCGGGAAAAGGCCCTGAGAACGAGGTTGAATGGGAGGTAGTTTGTCTTTGAAATTTTCGAAGATAACAGTGGGGCATATGATGGAATAGGTAGTGCGCCGAATCGTATATAATTAGTGATATTTTTAAAAATATGTTTGCAGCAAGTTTATGTTGTGTAACTCTAAACAGGTTTTTAAAATTGTTTGTGTGTCATTTATTTAACAGATCCACCGGAATTCAGCAACAATGGTGGTGACGTAGTTGTTACTGAGGGTACTGACGCCAGTGATAATATAAACTTGGAGTGTACTGCTGATGGTGAACCAACACCAAACATCACCTGGACCAAAGTATATGCTAACGGAAGTGACAGTGATGTACTTGCAACTGGGAATCAGTTTGTCCTTGCAAACAACAGAACTAACAGTGGAACATATCGCTGTACAGCATTTAATGGAATAGGAACTGCACCAAGTCATACATTGAAAGTAGATGTTAATTGTAAGGAGAAAAATTGTATGTTGTCGCTTCAATTTGGTTTTTAGTTTCTATAGACTGTATGAATGATTGTTACTGTAGGCAAAATAATGGAAAAAAGAAAAAAACAAAGGTAAATCAACCAAAAAGAAATAAATAATTTTTTTTTTATGACGGTATAGCTGTGTACTACGCACTTTTATAAAAAAATACAATTTGAAATAGATGGCGATAACGCAAGCAGGGCATGAAAATGCCCTACAGCCCAGTATAGGACATTGTGAGATTCAGGGTAAATAAATAACGAAAAAGTGCTTACGGCAATTTGTGAAATGAAAAAAACTAGACAAAATTAAAATCTGTAATCTGCCAAATGGAAATCTATAATTCTATACTTTACGCAATTTTGGAAGTTACAGATTTCTATTTTGCAAATTGAAGACTTTTATTCTTTTAATTCTGTTTTGCAAATTACGAAAAGCCAGAAAAGCTGCAATTCAGAATAAAAAAAAATTAATAGATAAAGAAAGAAAGAAAGGAAAGGAGGAGCAATCCCCATGCGAAGTTGGACTAAATATAAAAACGTTTGGCTCTTCATAGGTATGACACACATGTATGGACAGTTTGCTGCTCAGCCCTTCCCCTCAATTTAAGGGTGTAGATCAATGTTACTCGCTTTGATACTAATGCTCAGTCAAATGTTGTTTTTTTTTTCCTTTCTCAAGTTAAACCAGAGATTATCAAGCAATTGGTGAGTGATTCAACTGTATGTGAAGGTGATGTTATTAATATCACCTGTTCAGCAGACAGTAGACCTGCTGTGCATACTTATCAACTGTTTGAGAATGGAATAATAGTTGTTGATGGAAACAGCTCCGCTGGGGTATGGATATTGAGGAGGGATTTAAAAGAAGGAAACTTTAGCTACAGATGTGTGGTTAATAACACTATCAGTACAACTGAGGAGACTGTCAATATCACAGTAAAAGGTATGGTGTGAGAATGTGGTTGTTAACTGTCTGCAATCTTTTTAGATACAGTACGGTGAATGTATGCTTGTTTTTATCTCTCCTGCGCAAAAATATGTGGCTGGAAAAGAGCCTGAATTTCAACATTTCAACCAGACAAGGGGCTACATGTAACTACTACTGGACAAGAGTAGAACAAGACAGAGCCAGAAATAGCCTAGTAAGAGCCTGGTGGAAAACGAGCGTTAATCATCCATGCAAGAGCCGCACCAAAAAAATTGTAAATAACAGGAAACGAGTCAGACATCAGACTAACACTGATCCTGACAAGAGCAGTAATTCAGCTTGAAAAGAGCCAGACAAGAAAAATTTTTTCGAACAGCAAAACGAGCCTGACATGAGCTGGGCATTAGCCTGGCAGATAGCACAAAAATGATAAGTGAGGTAGTAATTGCTAAAAATCCCACCTTAGTTTGGCTGTACAACTCATAAAACGCACAAATAATGACAAAATAGTTTATTGATAAACAAATCTTGATAGTCTTATGCTAAAATACAAGGAATGCACTGAAAATAAGGCAAATGCGGGGAGAGTTTCCACTTAGCTGCATTTATTTTCCTATTCAAGCTGGAGTTTCCTCAACCATGCACGAGAATTTAGGTTACAATGCGGCTTTGTCTGCCGCTTTTGGAATTTGCTTGCCCTTCTATTTCAAAGCAAAGCAGTGATGTAGCCTATAGATAGAAAGAACTAAAGATAACATGTTTGCAAACTGATTTAAAGCCGCTCTGTATTACTGAGGCCTGGTCCAAAACTCGATCCATTCTATTAAATAAATTAATTGACTGAAAAGTTAGTCATTTATCATGAGCCATTTCATTTGAACTCCATGTAACTAAAAAGGAGCAATATTGTGAGAAAAAACTAACATAACCTTTCCTTTGACGTTTAGAACAGTACTCTTGTTAACTTGAGGCTTCTTCCCTATAATACATCAGCATCGTCGGGCATAATAACGAAGTAAATCTTATATGATTTGGAACTTCGTTGTGTTGGTTAGGTATCAAATGAAATCTATCTATTCAAACTGTTGAGGCTATTCCTCAACAAGGTTTTATGTTAGTCAGTTCCGTTCCTCATTTTTTTGTATGTCACGTAGACCACAATCCTTCAGTAGTAATTTTTATTTTTCTACCATTTTTTTACGCACGTGGTGAAGCGCTTGTAAATAATTTAGGTACGTGAAACTGTTTCTTTTCTTTCGTTTACCGCCTTTCATCATGTGGTTTTTACGGCTCCCCGAGTCTCTTAATTTATGATGAAAGGGCGACCGGATGGTTTTGTAAACGTTGGAATTCTTCGCCGTCATTAATTTCGTTGGTTTAATGAGCTGTTCTGTTGTTATTCGACATCGACGCCGCTATATGTGTCCGACCCGGACACAAACATTTATCCAATCAGAGTAAATTAAAGGCAAGTTAACACTCTTGAGACTTTCAACCCCCAAATAAGCAACTTTTTATGTAAACACCAAAAATTAAAAAAAGAGAAACATTCGTATCAATTTGCTCACATGCATTAATGCCTTTGAATTTCCTGTGTATTACGAACCTAACCAATGAAAAGTGAATTTAAACAGAAAGGTTATATGAAATGTGACCTGAAAACACGATGATTGATATTGAACTCAACTACATTGTAGCTCTTTATTCATGCTAGACTTGCATGCACTAAGCAATGGTGATGGCAGTTTCTATGTTTTAATGCAAATGTTGACTGGTTGGATTATCAGTCAAATGCCTTATCACTGCAGTTTTTGTGTTCTCAAGGGCAGAACTTGTATTCAAGGCTACTTTATTTTTTAAAAAGATCGTATATGAAAACATTGTTCTCCTCGACATTCAAGTCTCCCAAAATCCTAAATTTCCTAAATCCATTTCCTAGAATGAACAACTATTTAGATTTCCTTTCCAAAAATCTCCTACTCGTCTTTGTCGAGAAAACTTACAGAAACATGGTTGGGTGGCTTTTTATGTTATTAAAGTGACAGCGAAGTTTTGATTTGCATCAGTAAGATAAAAATTTTAAAAACATTGCTTGTCCGGCTAGTGGCAGTCTCATGTTGCGCTCAGAAATTAGGCGCATTGATGAATTAAATGTTGACTAAAATATGTGTAAGGGGATTCAGCGTTGTCTGGCTCTTATCCTACTCTTGCCCTACTCCTGTTAGTCTTGTATGGCCAGTCATGGTCCATAAAAGAGCGTAACATTTTGTGGGCTCTCTAGCTGAGAGCTAGACAATTTTTTTGAGTTACTTTTGTCATGTTGATGTCTGGCTTTATGAACAGTAATCAGGCCATATTCAGGCTCTGGCAGGCCCTCAATGCGAACTCTCCCCCAGTTATGTTGTGTATTGAGTATTTAACTTCAAGTGATAACTTTCAGAGCAAAAGTGGCATTACATGTTCTTGATATAACGTTTGAATCACTGAACTTAACTGGGAAAATTATAAGTAGCTGGGCTATAACTGAGGAAATAAATGTACATTGTACAAATACATGTAGTATGCAGTTAAACATCGTAACTGAGCCTGCTAAGAAGGAGATCCACAGTGGTTGCACAATTTTTATCCTACATTCTTTTGCAACTGTGGCTGAAATACTTGTGGGCTATACAGCTGGAATTCACCTTTTCTTAGCCTGTGAATTTAGCCTAAAGCTAGCACGTGATGAAAACCCTGATAAAGGAAAAGGAAAAGAAATTGAAACAGACTTGGAGTCCCTGGATTAGATTCATGCAACTCTGAACCCATTGAAATAATTTACTTCTTGCGAAATGAGCTGAAAACTGCAGAGTCCCTTCATTTCAAAGAAATGTATTTACTTTTGCATTATACAAGTGTATCTATTTATTTAAAATCAATGTCTACGTATATACATATGATTATTTACTGGTAGTGTATATATGAAAAAAAAAAATGATGAGTGTGTATGAATGTAGTTTCATGTACTTTAACACCTGCAATTTATCATCTTTTTTTCCCTGCAGTGCCCTCTAAAGTTTATCCGTTGGAGAATATCACAGTGATAGAGGGAGAAAACAGTACTTTAACATGTAATGCCTCTGGAAGTCCTGTACTGACTGTGACATGGACAGGAGTTAGCACCGGTAGTCAGTCCAATGGAATCGTACATTATCTTACAAAAATTAGTAGGAATGCTTCTGGTGAATACAAATATGAAGCTATAAATGACTGTGGACATAGCTCTGCTAGCACTTTCCTCACTGTGCTCTGTAAGTGATTGCTGTCATTAGTGATCTATGCTAAGTGATTGTGTGAGTTCCTAGATTCCTTAGCTGGGGGCACCTCTGTTTCTTTTCTTAAGCTTGTTTTGGAACTATTATTGATACAGTAAGAAGCACTAGGGAGGCTGCATTGTCTTACTGCCTTGAATACTAAATACAGAAGTCAGAATATATAAGTATGCTGGGTATGTAATTTCTTTTTAATTATTCAACTTGTTACATTGAGTTCAACTCAGTTAATAGAAATTCGTATCTGCAAGCAACCATGTACAAACATTTTGGCGAAAGACCAAGGATTGAGAATGGTGAACACTTTGTCATTCATTCATCAATCTGACGGGGAGGCGCAAAAGGCAAGGGAAATGTCAGCCGCTGATTGGTGATGTCAAACAAAAAAAATAATGTAGTTTTTCACATGGAAAGTTACGGCTTTGCTTAGTGCTGGAGATTGTTGCAAAACCCTGAAGTTAATTTATTAGTAAGGGGATTTTCCACCCAACAGTTCTGGAAAACCCTGAATAATAGGTATGATGCAGTGACCTGCGACATTCTAAATCTCATTCAATTCTTACAGTTAAACCAGAGAATTTCAAGTTCACAGTAAGTAAATCAACTGTGTGCCAGGGTACTGTGGTGATATTCCACTGTTCAGCAGATGGAAATCCCCCGGTGGATACCTATCAGTTGTTGGAGAATGATAAACCTGTGAGTGCTGGCAGCAACCGTCTTGGAATGTGGAGCAGGAATATGTCAAGTGGAGGAGTGTCCATCTACAAATGCATGGCGAACAACTCTGCTGGAACAGCATACAGTATGAGCCTAAATGTTACTGTAAATGGTGAGCAATTAATTCCATCTATAAAATACGATTATTATGGCGCCGTTTTTAAAAACAGTCAGTCAACTTATACAGAAAATACATGTATCCATTTCCAACCATGATTAAGTCGAGGATAGGATTCTGGACTGCTAAGATGCTCAAGAAACAATTAAACAAATTACTTTTAGTGCACGTACAGTGTATGTTGTTTAATTTCTTGCTCTCTCTTTCTATGCTTTCTATGCGGGATTTTGTAATCTCACATTAGCATCTTATCAGTAATATATGGAAAATGAGGTTTCAACCACATTGTACATTATTTCAGTGACTAATAATTACCTTGGGAGGGAAGTTCCTTTTTTTATATTTAGTGCCCAACTGGTAATGCTAGACCACAGTGCAAGTGCTATGTTAGTTACTCTGTAGGGCAGACTATGCTTGTTATCACAGCTTGGCAAGTGGTACTGGAGTAAAGTACTAGCACAAACCCACTAATCTCATTTTAGTATTGTATCTGTGAAAAAGTACAGCCCCTTCACAAATTAAGATTAGTCAGAATATTCCTTGTAGGAGGAACAACAGAGCACACCTACTAAGATGGGGAGCACTCTTATGTAGCAAAAGTCCCTCTTCCAGAGAGAATCACTCTCTCTAGGGGCTCTGAATGTCATTGGGTCATTATCATAGCACACTGAAGATCGCTCTCATAATTATTCCTTTAACTGCAGTTCACATATATGATTGTCATATATTCACAAACGTTGACTCACTCCTGATAAAGTACCTATAATAAAACCAAGCATTCCAAAATCCCACGAGTATACAGCATCTTGAACGAGTATACAGTCGGGGTTGGTCGATTACTTCTCTGAATTTTCTCCGAAGCATTACGCTACAAACTAACCTCAACACGGTTTGTTCTCTGAAAAAAGCAAAGAGATCCGGTTGAAGGCGATAAAAGCGAAACACTCGCTGAAATTTTGGTCACTTGAGGCTAAACTCTGTGACTGACCAACGAATTGTATATGATAGTTTGAGGAAGTTGGAAGACTTCAGTCGAAACACGGTGAAAGTCATTAGACATTTCACTGAAGCATTTCAGGGAGATGGGGGAACTTCACCTAAATGCAATTTTCTGTCAGAATGCAAGGTCTGCAAGGCTTTTTGTTAATATTTTGTAAGAAAAATTCTAATCGAATATACATCCTTCGGATGTGACAGACTGCAATACGTCAGAATCTTTCGACTACAATAAAATAGTAATCGAAAAATGCATCGACTGCAATCGATGGAACACTACGATTAACTTCACTTAAATTTGTTTGATCAGCATTACTATTGGAGTTTCAAATCAAATTTAAGTTCTAGAAATTCGATTTGGCCGTCGACTATCTTCCGCTATGCTCTGCTCAAACAGATCCAGAAAGAACAATGGCTGTCGAGGGCATGAATAAGCACCAGGCCGTAGAATTCCAATTAGTCTCTACGAACCGTACTTACAACTTTCGAGTGACAACAATTGTTAAATGATCATACGAGTAAAAAATAAATGTGAATTTATGGGCCTGTGTAAGAACTTTACTATTCAAATACATTTTCTTCTTCTTTTTCATTTTAGAGTGTCATTCCGTCTTTACAAAGGAACCTCCTTCCCCTTCCTTAGTTTTGGAAGGTAATGATTTATTTCTGCAATGGAACTACACTCTCACTGGATCGCTTCGCAACTCTGAGATAATTCTTGTGACAAACGGACCAATAACGGTTGCAGCTCGCGATGCATTAGACATTTCTCAGAACAAACCAGCCTTAATACTTGATGCCTTCGTTGGTCGGGTGGAAGGAAGTATTACGGATGTGCAAACAAATGTAACTTTCCTTTCGGTGAATAGAACTGACAGTGGGAAGTATCGACTTCAACTTGAAGATTCAGACCGGAACCCGTTCGAGAGTGATGTGACAGTCACAGTGTTATGTAAGTAGTAGCAATAATTGTTGTGTATAGAGGTAAATTTATTCGGAAACTTTAGAAAATCACAGGGTTATGGCGTGAGGTGGAAGGAAGCAACGAATTTGAGCGATTTCCTTCATGTCTTGGTGAAGGTGAAGGTGTTTTGGTTTTTTTGTTAATAAGTACATGCCTTCTGTAAGCTTTGATATTGGCTTTGTTAGCTAAAAGCATAAGCTGATAGCGTCCTCATCAAATCCGATATAAAACACAGTAACGTTACCCTTACAAATATGCAAATAAACTTTACTTTCTTTCCGTGAACCGAACTGATGGCGGGAAGCCAGTATCGACTTCAAGTTATTCTTTCACACCGAATCGAGCTTACTAGTGAAGTGACACTCAAAGTGCAGTTCATGTGTAGGTGTTAGCGATACGTGTGGACAAAGTCGTCATATATAAAAAAAAAGGTTGCTGGTCATCGGTGTTTTACAGATACATGAACGTTGAGTCGTTTGTCTCTCAATGTAAGTGTCAGGCTTATCAATCGTGTATTGATCACACGTGATACATTGATAAGTGTGACTCAAAAATCGTAAAACAAAAGATTAAAGTTCATTTCTCTGGGAAGTGATATCATTTAGAATTATCATATGACCCATCCAGCCCCGCTCACGCTATCCCGTAGAAAGCCATTGAAAAAGCTGACGTGAGCAATGCCGGACGGTTTGATATGAGCCGGTCCAGAGAAAGCCATCCCGGGCCCTGATTACCTCACGTCATCTTGTTGCAAAAACGGTGAGCAAAACAGAAATAAGGAAAAAAAGTCGCGTTTTTAAAGAAACAGGAGTTTCTTTTGGTGACTTAAAAACTAAAGGAAAAGTCTTAATTGCAGAATATTTTTGTGCTTATGTTGTCGCGTGTGCCCGTCTTTCGCGTCCTATTTATGCCACCTAAATAGGACGCGTGATGTTTTCTCAGCCATAAAAAACGTCCTTGATTAAACGTGAAAAGTTTGCTGCCGGTTATTGGTTAAACGTTTATCATCATGATAAGATTATACCTGTATTATGCTACTTTGCATTCTTGTCTATGCTGTGATTCAAATTTTTCCTGTGTTTAAAAAGGTCACTGCACCAACTAGGGTACGCTAATCTTCTCAAGAAAAGACAAAGGCATTCAATTCCATCGCATACAGTCCCTTGTTCACATGTATACGAATCAGGAAGCCCCATTACATTTGCGAGAATAGGTATTTCCTTTTTTCGGTACCAAAATTCTGCCAAGCACTCACTTCCATCGAGTCCTTCCAGGTCAAAATGTTTGTAATTCTGGTAGGGGTAATCGAGACTTTTTGAATTGTTGGCATCATTCAACAGTAAAAATTCATCTTCTGAAATGTCACCATCATCGCAACTTGCAATCAACAATATACGAGCCTTTCTATAAGTAGCCATTGCTTTTCCTAAACTTCGAAGAGTAAAGCCAGTAAAGCCGCCGTCGCGCGCGTTATCTTAAGACCATTTTAGTGCCACTGCAAAGGCGACCTTTCCCCAAGCCTCCTCGACCAAGTCTGCCGTCGTCGAATCTTAAGCTCATTATTAAACGCAGCGAGAGATCTCGGAAAGATCGATCAAAATTATTGGTCTTTGGCTGCGTGATGGTTATCGTCTTACATGTCATGTATTTGTGGCAAAAAGATAATTTGATGGCACGAGAGTCTATATAAGTCAAAAGGACAATCCGCCATCTTTGACCACGTCGCGCCTGCAATTTTATTCAGCGGTCAACTTTGACATTCATTTGGTATGTTGTGTTTTTAGTCTATAAAGTTTAAAACGCAACAAAGAGTTACAGTTACCAAAACATTTGACTTGCAGTTTGTTAAGTTTGAGATAACTGATGGTTCACTGAAGAAAAATAAGCCGGTGATGAATTGGTCTCCTCTCAGCAAAAGGAAAAAATAAGGTTGAAAAACTGACACATACATGAAAACCCCTTATGGTTTTCTGCTTACAATTGATATGTACTCTCTTGCTGTCTGCTGCTATATCTGGCTTTTCGTCGAGATGTACGTTAGAAATTACTCAATTGCAAAAGTGTGAATTATTAATGAAAGGTAGGGCGTGAAAGGGAAGGGGGCAAAAATCAATTTCGTAATAAGTCTCAGACAAAATAATAACCGACAATCCGTAAGTGTCAACATCAAAACACGGAGAAAAAAGCTCCTTAGTGCGCAGACACTTCTCATTTTCTTAGTGATTCAGGTGGAGCAGAGACTATCTCTCCCTATTCTCCTTTTATAACATAACCAAAGTAAAGCGCGCGCTCTGATTGGTCAATTCAGCGTTCACCATTCGCCCATAGGCGTACGCTGCTGACGTCAACAAATGCAAAGACTAGTTTTCCACGCGCGCGCTTGTTTTTTTCTGGTCACGTAAGATTTGTTAAATAAAATAAAACTCTTTTGCTACAATGTATCAATGTTATTTTATAGAACAAGTGGTAAACGCCACAGTTTACGCTATCGAGTTATGGATGCACGTGCTTTCTGAAGTTTGCGCACGCGAAGGTAATAAGACAGCAGCGAGGCTGTAAGGAAAAATGTCTGCTTTTGTTGATGAAAAACGCGCTGAAAACTGACGAAACTGAATCCAATTAGAACTGGTTTTGTACTCGGTTTTCCTAATGGACTTCAGGCCATTGTTAAGCTAATTTCGGGGATTGCTTTGGCAAGGTTATTGTTTATGACTCGCGCATAAGTCGAGGGTGATTTTATGGGCAGATTTTTCTGTCATGAAAGGTCGACTAATACACGGGTAAATACGATAAGTGTTTCAAGAGGTCTGTATGACACTGAACAAAATTTTTTGTTTGTCATTTATTTAACAGATTCACCAGAATTCACCAGCGTTAGTGATGATGTTGTTCTTGTTGACGGTGAAGGTGATCCAAGTATTACTTTCGAGTGTACCGCAGATGGTGAACCAACACCAAGCATCACCTGGACCAGAGTATATGATAATGGAAGTGACAGTGGTGTATTGGCAGGCGAGAGTCAGTTTGCCTTTGAAAACAAAAGAACTAACAGTGGAACATATCGCTGTACGGCATATAATGGGATAGGAACTGCACCAAATCGCACAGTTAAAGTAGAAGTCTACTGTAAGTAGATAAACTGTATGTTGTTGCTTAAATTTGGTTTTGATTTTTTATAGACTAGGAATGATTGTCATAATTAAGGTTAGAATAACACAACTAGAATTCAAAAAGGAAAAGAAAGGATAAGTTAACCACAAAGAAGTAAACGTACGCACTTTTATCAAAAAATCTAATTTCGATTAGATGGTGGTAATGCAAGCTGGGCACGAAAACAGCCCAGCATAGGGCATTGTGGAATTCAGGGTTAATAAATAAAGAAAAAGGGACTTACTGTAATTTTTGAACTGAAAAGAAACGAAACAAAATTAAAATCTGTAATTTGACAAATTGAAATCTGTAATCCTATAATTTGTGCAATTTGGCAAGTTACAGATTTCTATTTTGCAAATTAAAGATTTTAATTATTTCTTTTCATTTTTTTTCGCAAACTACAAAAAGCCAATAAAAGTAGTAGTAATATCGCTTTACGTCCTATCCGAGAAGACGAGGCAATGTGAGTGAAGCGTCTTGCTTAAGGACACAACGTCAATCCCCAGCCAGGGGACCATCTGACCCAGAGTTCAGCGCAATGACCACTGGACTACTCACGCCTCCTAAGACACTATCAGCTGCAAGTCATAAAAAAAAAAGAAATGAAGGAGCGACCAATAATCCCCTTGTGAAGTTGGACTAAACAGAAAAATGTTTGGTTTTTGGGTATGACACACAGGTATGGACAGTTTGCTGCCCAGCCCTTCCCCTCAATTTAAGGGTGTATGGCACTGTCGCATGCTCTGATGCTGATGCACGATCGAATATATATAATATTTTCCTTTTTCTAGTTAAACCAGAGATTATCAAGCTATTTGTGAATGATTCAACTGTCTGTGAAGGTAACGTTATTAGTATCACCTGCTCAGCTTACAGCAGACCTGAAGTGCATACTTATCAACTGTTTGAGAATGGAATATTGGTTGTTGATGGAAACAGCTCAGCTGGGGTATGGATATCGAGGAGGGATTTAAGAGAAGGAAACTTTAGCTACAGATGTGTGGCTAATAACACTATTGGTACAACTGGGGAGACTTTCAGTATCGCAGTAAAAGGTATAGTGTGAGAACGTAGTTGTTAACTGTCATAGCTATTTTTTTTATGTACAGTATGGCGAAGGTATGCTTGTTTTTACCTCACCTATACGAAAATGTCTAACTTGACAAAGGCCTGAATACAGCCATACATTTAAACCAGACAAGAGCCTACATGCAAATACTATAGGACCAAAGTAAAGAGCCTAATAAAAACTTGGCACAAAGCGCGAAACGAGCAAAAATCAACCACGCAAGAGCCAGACCAAAAATATCGTACACACTTGGACACGAACCTGACACGAGCCAGACAATAGCCTGACAATCATCATGACAAGAGTGGTAATTCAGCCTGAAGAATGCTAGACAAGATAAATTGTTCAGAAGAGGTAAACGAGCCTGACATGAGTTGGGCATTGGGTTGGCGGTACAAAAATGATAAGTGGTGAGGTAATAGCTGAAAATCCAGCCTTACTTTAGCTGTAAAACTCATAAGACACGTAAATAACAACAATGAAAATAGTTTATTAATGAACAAATCTTGATACTCTTATACGCTAAAATATAGAGAATGCACTTTATCTAATCTGAAAATAAGGCAAATGAGGGGAGAGGTTCTACTTACCTGCATGTCCTATTCGAGCCATAGGTGTTTCCTCAACCATACATGAAAATTTTGGTTACGATGTAGCTTTGTCCGCTGGTTTTGCTTGCCTTTCTATTTCGAAGCAAAACAGTCATGTAGCCTGTAAATAGAAAGAACTAAAGGTACAATTTTGGCAAACTGATTGAAAGTCGCTCTGTAATGCTGAAGTGGTGTTTGATTTCACACAAATTTCTCAGGTGTAGAACTATAAGAAATGTATCGTAAACAGTTTGGGGAGTTGATCTTTAGATCAGGATAGTGCATAGTTGAACTAACACAGCCAGTAAATGTGATTGTCTTTTATTTATTTGTTTGCCGGCTATCATCTGAATTTTGTAAGTTTTCTCATAATAATGGTCGTTAATTTGTGAATAATAATGATAAATTTCATACTTTTATATTACTAAATTTGTACGAAAACAATTTCTGTGTACGTGTTTCTTTGTTTGATTGTCTGATTTGTGGTTTTTCTAATTTGCGTTTATCAATTCTTTTGATGGAGATAAAGTGTTCTGAGGAGTCCAGAAGAAAATGAATGATCAATTAAACAAAGGATACAATGCTGCAATTAAATGTAGCTGTTATTTTGTATGTTTTGTTCCTGTTTTTTTCTGTTCTGTTGAGGCTGGGAGAGAAGGAGGAATGTTAGCGGTTTTTATTAACAATAGCCGGTCAGCACAGTTCTCCTGAATAGTGAACAAAATCAGGAACGTCTTTTTTTGTGATAAGTACCCGGATTATGCGTTTGAATCTTAACTAAGAATGGCCATGATTTATGATCAGGTGTGGGATCTTTACCTCCTTAAGTTCTTCTTAATGAATTAGGGATATGTAACTGAGTAAAAGCCACTTTGAGCGATTGACCTGTGGGCAGGGTGGGGCACTGTTAGTCGCCGGGATGCCCCAAAAATATTAACTTGAGGGGATTTTGGAATTTACCATAATTGGCAAGCAATGTCGCAATCTGATTCGCCAATTTGCCCTTGTGGAGTGTAGTGCAATCGTCCCGGTGAGTTAAAATGGACTGTTGTCGGTGGTGGTGACTGACGTTTCGACATGCTGAGCGGAAGCCAGAAAATTTGCCGTTCTCGATAAGAGTACAGTCAACGCTACTACGTCAACTTGTCACGCAACGTGTCACGCATTGAAAGAATCGGGGTGAGTTAGCCCTTAAAGGACTGTTATCGGTGGTGGTGACTGACGTTTCGACATCCTGAGCGGAAGTCAGAAAATTTTCCGTTGCCCATAAGAGTACAGACTAGGCTGCTCCATCAACTTGTCATGTAACGTGTCACGCATTGAAAGAACCGTCATATATGACGTCGATAATTGAGTTCAAAAACAAATCGACAGCGGTTTTAGCGGGACCTGCATTTTTATCGAAAACGATCTTTTTCATCACAGAGGACATGTTGTGGACTCAATCGGCTGCAACTCTTAAGTCCACAACATTTTGACCGCTGTGATGACGGGCATCGTTGTCGATAAGAGTACAGACCACGCTGAACCACTGTCGATTTGTTGAAATTGTCCCAATTAATGAACACAATCGGAAATAGATAATTGACCATGGAAAGGTTGAAGAAACTGATGTTTTTGATACGTCAGGGCGACTGGAAGAAGAATGAGAAGGCGTTAGATGCTTTCACTCTTTCAAAATCAAACTAGTCCATAGTACTCGTTTGATTTTTAAATCACGCGTATGATTTAATTGCACTCCACTCAGTTTAATTACCCTTGTAAATGGCAGGAAAAAACAGAGACGAATAATATATTTAAGTTTTTTCTCCGCTCCGTCTACTCCCATTTGGTTGTCCTCGAACGGCTACGGTAGCCAATATTCGCGACCTCACATAACGCTTATTCGCGGTTTAACGACTGAGACATGCGCAATGCAGACTTTAAAATTGCAACAAGCATGCAAATACTTACAGAAAACGCATACTCAATATTTTCTAATGAAATAATATCTAAAACAACTAAAGCACAATCATTGTAAAATAGTTACTGAAATAATAGTACTAATAGTAAGATAGGGATAAACACGAAGCCGCTAGATAGGAAAACGTCAGTCTCTGGCAAGGCCTGTCTAACCAAGTCTTAACATCACTATTATATGTTGGCAATATTGTGAAATATTTTACCACGCTCAAAATTTGATATCAATGTACCCTGAAGACAGGGATTTACTGACTCAACAGGGAATAACAAGTCAAAAGTTATGAAAAGTAGTTGAATTCATTCTCACATCATCATAGTATGAAAAAATATTAAACCCCTTTTGAAGCCTGAATCCAAAAGCATTTTCATCAAAACATACTATGCTAAAGATTCAGTAACTGAAAAAAGATTTAGTGATAAATGGAATTCATTCGAAGAACGACGAAAAAAGTAAAGCGGTTCCTTAAAACAACCCTTTGCATTGTCGACGTTTTCCCATAGTCTTTCAACTTTCG